ACATGACCATACTCAGCACTTCATTTGACAGGTCTGTACAGGAAGAGATAAAATAACCCTGGCCTATTCATCACAAGAACTATATGCAAATTCTCTCCTTAGCCAAATTTTTTCATGGGAAGCTCTTCTCATACAATCCCACAGTGCACCCTCTCACGCATCTATGCAAACATAAACAAACACAATCTGTAGGCTAATCACACAGCTCCATTTACAGTGTGTGGAGGAAGATTATTTCCAAGTTCTTTGGAAGTGCAGACACTAGCAATGTGGACTCAGTACATAGAACATTAAAGCTCATCTGGTTACTTTTATTACATTTTTAATTACTACGATACTAAAGCAAGTCCACCTGATATTGTATAAGTTCGCAATCTGTATCTTACTCAGATGGAAGAATTCCTGTATTATTTTTTAAAATACTGTTATCCTCCCCTTGCACTTCCTAAACTACACTGAACATTCTTTTTTGGAACGTATAATGTTTCCAGTTCCAACCAAGCTGTTACTATTAAATGTTTTGGGACTAAAAATACTATTGGGACAATGATAGAAAATTGTTCCACAACGTATAATGTACAAACTATCACAGTTCTAATGAAAAAAGGTATTTTAAATAAAAATATCATAATTATGTAAGTAATTGATACCTAACAAGAGCAAGATGAACGTAAAGCCATATCCTAAAGGCCAAATTCTGGCTCAGTGTGCAGTTGCACCCTAAATACATGCTCCAAGGACAAAACTGAGATTCACCCATATTTTGGTAATCACAACCCCTAAACATCTACTGGTACTTACTAGTTATTTTGCCCTGAAGTACATACAATTTATGTGATAGAAGGATATCATAAAAAGGGCAATGGCTGTGTCATGGGGCAGGTGAATGATGTCCCTTGACTCATACTACAGAACACAACTTAATGGATTTTGTGGAGAGCTCTTTGGCCAAACACTGAGAAGGTTCTCTCTCTTTTTTGGACACAGGTTATTTTTGGAAGGCATCAGTATGTCTTACTTTGCCAGAATATGGCCCGAAGTGCTAAATCCCATTTCCCTCATTCGGAATTCCGACTGAATAAGATGAACAGGATTTAGCTTCAAAAGTTTAACCCTTCAAGTCAGAATGAGTAGTTCCATTGCACTTAATCTATAATTCATAAATAAATTTCTATAAAAAGGGAAATCATATCACTGTTTATCCATGGATGTGATACTTAACAAAGCCAAGATGAAATTAAAGTCAGCTTTACATTTTCATATGTTAAGGGCCAAATTCTGGCTCAATGTGCAGGGGCACCCTAAACACATACTGCAAGAACATACAATGTTTCCAGTTCCAACCAAGCTGTTACTATTTAAATATTTTTGGGACTAAAAATACTATAGGGACTATGATAGAAAATTGTTCCACAACATGTAATATATGTTCATTAGAGAGGAAACTTTGCAACAACTCACTACATTTTATTATTCATATAGTTATGGAATTGATTTAAAAAAAAAAAAAAAAAAAAGAGAGTCTTACACGGCACAATTTTCTCCCAAGCACAAGCTCAGCATGTCTACACACGACTCTGACTACACAGTAGCTGAAAAATACTATGCAGTAGTGTGTCACAGCATGGACAGTGCTAATATACTATTGGGCAGTATTATTAGGCTACTGGACAGTAGTGTCACCTAAAAGACATTCACCAGCGCTGATGTTACTGCACATTTATTTAGTACTTGCTAATATAAGTACTAAATAAATGCACATTAATAACTGCTCAGTAGTGCCTTTGAGAACAATGAGTTATGGGTGATTTTAATGTATTTAGCAACTAGGATGATAGATGCTTTAAAAAAAACCCTTTATAGATATCTAGAATAAGTCTATGAATGCTCGTGTATATACATTATATACATTTGCATGGATAGATAATAGCTACTTTAATAAAAGGATAATTGTAAGCTTTATACAAAATTACCAAAGAAAACAATTCTCAAAGGGCCTCTTAGATTTTTCATGTGGAATGTGTGTTCGTGATTTTGGGGAAAAAAAATGCAGATAATCCTAGAGAAAGTTCCTGCTTGATTGAAGTGGAGAAACACAGATTTTTTATATTAAAATAAGAAAATGTTATTCAGTTACTCAAATGTATGTTATGTTGAATTAAATAGGTCTGGGTCTGAGTTGTTATTCATTTAAATGATACAATATAAAGAGTGAATGTAACAACATTAAATTAAATTAGCCAATACTGACAGAATAGTACTAAGGCTTTTGATGGAATTCATTTTAGTGTAGTCTAATCTAATAATATACAGCACTGAGACTAGAATCTGGGGATTTAAAATCATTTAAAATATTCTAACAATCTTTATATAGATTAGAACTAATAGGAAAGAAGAACGTGTAAAACTCAGATAATCCCAGTTGAGTTGGTTTAATTTTGGACACCATATCATCATTGTCAATGCTTAATATGTAACTCTACTTGCCAAAAGGTAGTCATAATAAAAGAGTTCTGCAAATGCTTTTCATAAAAGTGTCTGCATTTACACATAGCTTAAAAAGTTTTCTTTGGAGAACAGGGTAAAGTATATTTGGTTGATCAGTAACTCTTTTGGCCTTTCAGTGGATGTTGCACTTTGAGGGGTTCATTGTGTTTTGAGAAAGTTACCCATTAATGCTTAATAAATCTTTTAAAAGGAGTGGGTTTTACAAATTTGGATCTATCTAGTTATTTTAGTTAATTTTAGTGCTTCTTGCCCCAAGAGTGAATGGTATGAAAATCTTTATTAATAATAAAGGTGAAAATTCTAGAGATTACCTGGGAAAATAAGTGCACGTCTCACTGGCAATGGAAATAGCAGAAATTACATATTTACTTCCTCATGCACAATGCTGAAATAAAGCGTAATTTGAGGGACTAAAGGTAAAATCCTGATCCCACTGAAGTCCATGGCAAAACTCCCATTGACTTCCTGGGCAAAAGGATTTTATTAGTCTGGTAAAAAGGAATAGAAAATCACATAATAAAAAGGCTGTGATCAAGGCCACATACTCATCAGTAAGGCCAGGAAGAAGTTAGTGTTAATTACATTGTGTGTGTGCCTTGTAAGACAAGTATGAACATCTTACTGTTAATAATATTGATATAGTAATACCAATATTAATATTTCAGAGCTGTCATATATGAATTACTATTTCCCATATATATATATATATATATATATATATATATATATATATACACGCACACACAACCGATGCTTTTATGCAAAATTCTGCAGCATTTACTCATTACTTATTTATCAGTCTAATAGCAACTTATAGGATAAAAGGATTGAGAAGAGAAAATGTTTTCTATTGCTCTACTCCTGGCACCAGTAGTCCCTCTTGCCTCCAGGAAGTAGTGATGCTTCCAAATGTTCTCTGTTGCTCCCTCCCTTGAAACCCTAAATGGCAGTAACTCCCAAACAAGGAGTTATGACCTCAAATGGAATCAAAACAGGACTAAGAATGGTAATGAGCCCCTATTTCCTCTGAACCTACAGCTATTCATTGTGTCCTGAATTAACAGAAGGCAAAGCTTTACTGTGACCACGTCTACACAAAACTCTTACTGCACAGTAGCTCATTACTACTCCACAGTAGTGTCATGGGGCATGAACCGTGACACAATGCTGCTGCACACTAGTAATGAGCTAGTGTGCAGTCAACGTCACAACAAAGCCATGCGGGGATGCTACTGTGCTGTAATGCCGGTTACTGTGCAGTCATTTAGTACTTGGTTATGCCAGTAAATGATTATGCAGTAATAACTGCTCAGTCAGCATCTCATGTAGATATGGCTTGTGCCTCAATAGATACTCCAGTGACTGCAACTGTTTCAGTCAAAAGAAAGCAAAACTAGAACAATTAATCCCTGTGTTAGTCATATGGGTTTCCCTCTGTCTTGAACACACAAGCAGCAGTAACAGATTGTGTGGGGTAGCATGAAATTATCTGACTGTAATCCAGGTCTTGACTGGAAAAATCTTGGAAACTGCTGCACATTGGTGATAGGCTTCAGAACACAGATGATACTCTTGGGGTACAATAACTAGGAGTGTGTTTCTATGAAGGGAGCAGCTGTGAGATTAGGGTGATCTTTCCTTTCTACCTCTGCTGGACTATCACCTCTGCAGACTGGGAAGAATACCATTGAAGGAGGACAACTAATGAAGGAGGGCTCTCCTCCTTTTCATTTTGCTCATAGATATCTGGACAGAAAATAGGGCAGGCAGGAGTCAGGTGCCCTGAGGCAGAGCCCTTAGGATTGGCCCATAACAGACAGTGCAATTTTGCTCTAGAAATCCTTGCCATAGCCCTACCTATGAAAATTGAATGGTTACAATCTAAATCATAGAAAACCTTTTCTAACTTCTGCGAGGAAAAAATTTGACTTCACTAAGTGGGGCGGGGGGAGGGAGGCATATATTTTCTATTTGCTATGTTCAATAGTTTTTTGTAAAATATCTTTCACAAAATATACAATCGTAAAAATGAACAAAACTGGCTAATTTTTAAGATGACATGGTGCATTCCCAATATATATTGAGATTTACTGGGAATAATATTTGGCTCCAGAGAGCCTTTTATTTAGGGATCTAAAAGCACTTTTGAATATTATTTGAATAAGCCTCAGAAGGACCATTTGAAGCTAATTGTATCCCCATTTTACAGCTAGAGAAAATTAGATGCAAATAAATTAAGTGATGGCCAAAGGTATCACAGCATATCAGTGGCACAGCTAGGAATATAAATTAGTTACTTTTCCACTCATGGTATAACACTCCCTTCCTACTAAGTACATTCATTGTATCTTAATTATGTTCATTTCACACCAGCAATTTTAAAGATCATGAAAACTGGGCAGTTTTGTAGCATTAAAATTGTTATAATGCCAATTACATATTTTTCCATGTAGGTACAAAAGGCTATGTAAAGGGTTAACTGCACACCCATGTAGGTAAACATTTTAATTTATTGTGGCTTATATCTAATTATAATGTTTAAATGCTGACTGGCACAGAAGATACTGAGCTAGCCCTGGACTCTCTTGTTTTGTTACTGGGCATGGAAATGGTACAACAAGATACTCCTACTGTAGCTTCGGGCAATTCATCTTCTTCAGTCCATTCATTAAGATCTGGATTGTAGCACTGAATGCACTTCTTATATTTCTTTTCTATTTCATTCCAGCCCCCCACTAAGTAAATTTTCCCATTAAGAGTTGAAGCACCTGCAGTACTTACTCCAGTTTGAAGGGGAGCAGCATAGGTCCATTGCCCAGTGTAAGGGTTGAAACACTCGACAGGGAGGACATCAACCCTTTCACCTCTACCTCCCAGTTGAGACCCACCCATGACATAGCCCCTCTCCCCCAGGGTCACAGAGCAGTGCCATCCTCTTGGAGTGCTAAGGCTTGACTTATCCTGCCAGCTATCATTGCTGGGGTCATACATGCACACAGAGCGGGAGTAAGCATTATTTATATAACCTCCTGTAACCAAGATCCTGCCATCTGTTACTGCACTAGCATGGCAACACCTTGCTACCTCTAATGAGGCCTTCATTTGCCACTGATTAATTGCAGCCACATAGCATTCAACTGAGGATAAACATCCATCAGAGTTCCGACCACCCACTGCAAAAAGGAGGCCATTGAATACATTCAGGCTAAAATGGGTACGCTTCTGATTCATATTTGCCAGGTGAATCCATGTGTTGAAACGAGGATCATATCTGCAAGCATTAAGAAAAGAGGGTAACTGATGCAATCAAAATACTCTAATTTTTTTTGTGGAAAATACTACAGTATTGTATCTGCCTCTGCATAGCAGATGTTGTAGGCATGCTAAGTCACTTTTGCTACTTCTTATTTTCTAGTTTTAGAATTCACTTGAACTAAAAGTTGTAATTACTGTTACATTTCAAGGAAATAGGGTTTTTTTATGCTTAATAAATGTATTTTTGAAATTCAAAAATAGTTTTTTCCTCTCAAAATTTAGCCCTTAAATTTATCCAATTCCTTTTAGAAGTCAGATTGTTTAATTTTTATTTTTAAGTCATTTTAAAAGTAAATAATCTTTAAAAGTGATTACAGTAAAAGTATTTTAACTATTTATATACAAAATATTATATTTTATTACATTCTATGCTTATATAAAATGTCTTATAAAATGCATTGTAAAATTTATACAATCAATAGTTAAAATATGACATACATTACACTACGAGAATATCTCCTTTGCAACTAATAATGCAACTATGGGTGCTTACAGACATGGAACCCCCCCACCCAAAACAGCACTTTACTTTCATCTTGTTGTGCCCCTGTGCTGAGCACAGCTCATGCCCAGAAGAGGAATTGCATCAGTTTGTCCTGGCTCCTTAGGATCTGTATAGCTCACACGCTTCAGCAGGGCTCTTTTGGAGCTTTTCTCTAATAGCTGATTCAATTGTCAAAGGGCCCAATATTGCTTGAATCAATTGGGCCCTACAAGGAGTAGTACAATGCATAATGTAGACACAGGTAATAAACATTTGGGATGCTGACGAACAAAAGAAGAGGAATTGGGCGCTTTATGGGAAGAGGAATCCTGTCAGTTTTACCCAGCTCTCCAGCATCTGTACAGCTTGCACACTTCAGCAGGGCTTTCTGGCACTTTTACCTAATAGCTGATTGAATCAGCTATTAAATAAAACTGCAAAAAAGCCCAGCTGAAGCGCCCAATCTATACAGAGGCTGCAGAGCTGGGCTGAAGTAATGTGCTGCTTCTTCTGGTAAAGCTCATATTTTTTTAACATCTGCAAGCAACCAAAGCTTTTAATTTACTTTAGTCCTGTTTTAAATGAATAACAATGAAGGGAAAATACTCAAAATATTAATGCTCAGAATAATTGATACCTTGACTGTTTTCAGAGATTTTGTATAATATACAAGCATCCCTCAGATATGAAACAACTTGCCCAAGGTCACTGAGCTTGGAATAGAACATGAGACCACAGCACGCTGAGCTGGGTCGGTGCAGCCCAGGCTGGCAGTGGGTTTGAGGGGTCAGCCTGCCAGCCCTGGGCTGCTTCAAGCTGGATCAACATGCTGTAAAGGGCCTGGCTGGGGCATGAGGGTATTCCAATGCAGGGCTAGCCAGCAGGCAGCCCCTGCACTAAGGCTAGGGACAGACATTACACATACACTGGTTTAAGTGATCAGAAACTGATTTAAACCTGTAACAGAACAGATGTTCAGTGCATATAAACCAGTTTGAAAATGACTGAAACCTGTTTGAGATAAACCTGGTTGAATGTAGTATCAGACTTAACTAATTTGGCTCAAACCAGTTTATGCTATGTCTGTCCCAGACCCCTTGCTGGTTTAAGACAAACCAGACTCCCCCAGCATCCTGATATGCTTTCTGGGCTGGGTGGGCAGGGCTGTCTGCTCCACAGCAGAACTGGTCCCTCCCCTCTGTGCCCTGGCTGCAGCTCCAGCAGAGACTTGCAGGCTGCTCCCCTCCTCTTCCCTTCATAATCCCTGCTAAGCAGGAATTCCCCTACCCCACCCCCTGCCTTGCTGAGAGGTATCTGTGTATTAGCTAGCAGACCACCTGCGGGCTCCAGTCTGTGCTGTGACAAAGGCAGAATCAACAGGTTGCTGGTAATGACCCTCTGTTGTTTTCTTAATGGGGTAATAAACACTGAGTTAGGGGTGATAAACACTGTTATCAATTCCCTGCTGGGCTAATCAGAGCATCCTTCCCGGGCCTGCCACATTCCCTTCTACTCCCTACTGTGGAAGGGAAGGGAGGGCTGCTCTAATGCCCCCTGGCTTCTAGTCTGAGCCACTGCAGGCATGTGCCTGCATTTCTGGAATGACAAGGGAATGTCTATCCACCTCCAAATTGGTTCAAGCTTTGCAGGTTAGACTAACCTGCAAAGACTGAATCAATTCCGGCTCAGGCTTTTTGAATGTCTGTTCATAGCCTAAAGCGTCTTTGTGCCCCAGCCAGCCATGTCAGTACCTACACACACAGTGCTGCAAAATAAAAATCTCTGTAGGAGGACAGCACTTGTATTTACAAGTACTACCTTGCTGCTGGTTTTCTTTGTTTCCTACAGCCTACTAGGGCCACATATGTAGACACCAAGACATTTGCTGATGAGCTAATTAGTCAACTCTGCAGTAAATGTCTCATGTAGATGTGCCCACTGGGTCCTATCACTGTTTAGTGATATTCCATCCTGCTGTTTGGCTTCCATCATGCTGGCAATATAAAAAAGCTAGGACTGAGCTCCATTTTGCAAGGAAAGGGGAGACAGAGCTGAGAAACCACCTCTTTTATGTAATGTGTTCTTCTGCAAATTGGCATACATAGAAAAATGAAGAGCCAAAGGCAATCATTGCCTCATTACTTTTCCTTACATACTCACTGAGCTGTCTAAGAGGACTTTAATATCAGGGGGCTATAGCCAACAGCAGAAGAGCAGCAGCTTTGTACCCACTCCAGATAAGAGGCACAAAAGTATGCTCTTATATTATTTTTATTCAACATAAACGTGAGTTTTCCAATCTCCATGTTTTAATGCTATTTTTAGGGAGAATTATCTATTAAAGTCAGTTTAGAAATCCACTTAAAATTAATTTGACCCCCCAAACTTCAGGCTATGCTCACTTTCTTTCCCATACATACAGTTCTATGGGGACAATCCAATAAAAGTACAGTTCTTCAGAAACTTTGCATTATTTTGGGTCTGTTACATAGGAGGGAGCAAAATAGATTTTTAAGAAACAATTTCTGTTTCCAAACCTGTGTCTTTAGGAAAAAAACAAGAACAAAAGGAAATAAAGGGAAAAATTGCAGTTGGACAAAATGCAAACAGTTATGTCTAAAGAATAGTTTGTAGGGGGTTCATGAGGCATCAATAGCTCTTAAACTTTGAAGAGTCTTGCTTCTTTTGGTTAGTCACAGCTTTAATACTATTTACAGTAATCCTGCATTTTAATATTTTTTATAGAAATTATTCATTTAACTTTGGCATGAAACACATTTTCTGACCCTGACCTATTATATTTTGTATGTTTTTGATTATGGGGAGTTTTACATAACTATGGTTGTACATTTATAATAGCTAATAACTTAAACATATGAAATTACATCCCTTTTCTTCCCTCCTACAAACCTTATCTGTTTGTGCTGTGCTTTGCACCCTTGCTTGGATTGTGTTCCTGCTCTATGTGGAATCTGTCACTCCATCCTTTAAAAATAGTCTGTTACCTGCAGAAATTGCTGACTGCATGTTTGGCTTGGTTTCTGGCATCATTCTGGTCTTCACCACCAGCTACATAGAGAAATCCATCCATCACAGTCACACACTGATTAAAACTTTTAGCAGGCATTTCAGTAAGCTTCTTCCATCCATTTTCAGGATCTCTGTATAAGATGTCTCTACTAAGGGATTTTTCTGTTAGTGCTGGGCGTCCCCCAACAGTGACTAATACTCGGAGACCTCCACGAATCCTTGTTCTTCTAGATTGCAGTGAATTTTGATGATATGGAAGCAAGTGATAGTTCATAGCATCCACTAGAAGTCTATGGCAGTCAGCATCTTGCATCATTCTTGGTACATTTTGAACATAATTGACCAGGTCTTGAGCAGATATGGTACCAAAACGAATGTTGCTTAAGAGATCTGCAGCATACTTTACTCTTTTTTCGTCAAATTCCAGCCATTTTATTGCAATCTGGAATGCAAGAATTTCAGAAGGCAACTGCAAGTCGTCATCTGCAAGGAGTTCATTGATCTGATCAAAAGTAAGTTTTAAGAATTGATCTGTTTCTGAAAATTCAATGAAGTTGTCTCTAATAAATTTCTGCGCTGCTTCTTTGGTGTTTTTTAGTCCATATGTCTCTGCAATATTGGCAATGTACATGCAATTCTCAACACTGATTTCTTGTATCAAAAAATCACAGCACATCTTTACAAGAGTGTGAATCTGAAGATAGATTGCTGTGGAAATGATACTACCTATTGTATACAGTGAAAGAGTAAGTTTTCCAGTGTAGGCATAGGTGATAACAGTGGCTAAGCCCAATGGAGATACATCATTGAGGTCCACTCTTTGAGTGGATGGATCTTTCTTTAAGATGTTGTGAAAATAGTCACTGCATGAAGCCATCACCACCTTGTGGACACTGAAGGATTTGGTTTTTGTACTGATGGTCAAGTCACAAAGAAAATTTTCCTGTCTCATTCTACTTAGACCGTCCAAGAGATTTGGGCTATAAGACGAATCAGAAACCTCAGTTGAAATGCAGCTGAAACCATTCCCACCATCTAAGAGTCCATTCAAACCATTTAGTTTACTTAGGGGGCCATCCTCCACAATTATGGTCATCTCATTGATATCTCCTTTGTTCTTTTTGACATTCTTCTTCTTAGGCGCCATGACTGCAATGTAATATCACAGCCAAGAGCTTGCTAAAAAATACAAAGTTTAGAGCTATGTTTCAGTTTCAAGTATTTAACATTTCAGTGATGACACACCAAAGACTAAACTCGACCAATAAGTCAAGAACAGTCTCCACAAACAAAATGTGTAAAATGTTGCACTTTAGGCATGGTTTTACATGTATTTTTCTATATTAAAGGTCTGATCCAGAGTGCTTCCAGGCTTCTGACCTTAGATACATTAGGCAAGGCTTATGGTATATAATTCCCCATATCATATTCATAAATGCACTTCTACAAATAGTTTAATTCCATAACTTTTCCATTCGTATATTACATTACCAGTAATTTCAAGTTACTATGCTTTCACTTTCAGCAGTTATTATTGAAGACATTGCAGAGAAAACCCACTTATTATTTTTAAAGGGTTTTTTTGTGAGTTGATATAGACTTTTAAGAAGCTGTGCATGAACACAGGAAGATCACTTTCACATAACAGCGTTAAATTAATTGATTACATCATACATATAAACACTGACAATAATCCAAGGACAAAATTTCTACTCAATCCAGTGTAGAAGGCCCTTTGGTTCTTTCACAGGAATTATTTCATGTACAAAAAAAAAAAAAAAAAAGCAAATGCACCTTAAAGGAAGGCCATGGTCCTGGATAATTACATCTAAGAAAGTAGTCACTAAAGCTAATCAAATTCAACACTATATCTGAAATACAGTATTTTCTTGGATTCTGATATGATTTCATCATTAGCAATCATTCTGCTCCTCATGCTCAAATGAAAAACAGAAAATAGAGGAGGGTTGTTTAATGATAAAATAAGTGATTATGTCATTTACTAGATCTATTTAGGAAGCGTGCTTCTCCAGTAATATTTCCTTTTAAAACCTTATCCCATACAATTTGCTTAAAGCACACAGCTTATAATAAATCAGCATTTTAATTATAGAAAGGAATGGTTATTGCCTCTTTAAGAATAATTTTTTTCCATCCTACTGGGTGAAGCCTGTTCACAGTGCAGGGGAAGGCCATGTGTGCGGAAAGTGTCAGTGTCACTGCATGCCAGAGTGAGTTGAGATCCCAGAATGTCTCCTTGCCAAAGAGGTGGGTCAGCTGCTGCTCTGCTCCCTCCCCATCCCGGCTGCATTCCAGGAGCTGCATCTGTCGAAACCTATCAGAGTCAGCTCCAGGAATAGTAACACTCACAGCAGCTTGCCATTTTAAGACAGGTTCAATTTAAGGTGCATTTGTCATTTTGGATGTACTTTGTTGTTTTAAATGCCTGGAACAACTCAAAACTATAGAAAATACAATATGCATTTCATTGTTAGATACCTGAAAAGACAATAAACTTTGGATAGCATCAGATATTCTACTCACAAACACCCTTGTTGGCCAGAAAATATTATCTTGGCAGGCATAGCTGTGGTTTTAAATATTTCCAGAGACCATTTAACTTAATAAATGTTAACATACACATAGTTTGACACAAATATTATAGTCTTTTTTCCCATTAAAACAATTAAGAACATTATAGATGCAATCATTTAAAAGTTGTTTGTTATGTAAACAATCATTCTCCAAAGTTTTCCTCAGAATGTACTTTGCTACCAACAAAAAATTAATGAGCAAAGTTGAGTACTCAAAAAGTCAAATTTCAGGAAATAAAAAAGGAAAGAGACAGATTAAACTACCCACCATGCCAATAAACTATTTTTAAGTATTGCAAATCTCAGCTAATTTTGTAAGCCATTTGCCTTCCCATGAATACAACAAGTCATGTTTGTTTTCACTCAAGAATAATTCGTGTTCCAGGATATTCCAGGTCCAGAGGGAATGGTGAAACTCACTAGATACAGAAATCCCCACCCCCAACAAGTGCCACCAAAAGACCAGTAACAGCAGCATTAGAAGCACCCTTACCCTCCTCAGCAAAATGCTGTTCCACAGCTGTCCACCAAGGTATCAATGAGAATATCCTAGGAAGAATGAAAGGAGAGAGAGAGAGAAAGAGAGAGAGAGAGAGAGAGAGGGAGAGGGAGAGGGAGATTGGAGGCCCTTTGACAAGTCCTAGCACTTACTGTCTCTACTGTGACACTGCTGTGACACTGAGTAAAAGAGACTGGAGTCTGCGCTCTGGGGCCCTTTAAAATGACCCCTCCCCCTCCCTCTCCCTCTCCCTCTCCCTCTCTCTCTCTCTCTCTCTCTCTCTCTCTCTACCATCCAGAGGGGTTAGGTTTCCTTTGCTTGCCTGGCTTTTAAAACTCCAAAGAGCAAGTTTGCCCCCTTGACATAAATATGTACAAGGGAAGGGCTAGGATTAAGAGTGACCTAGACAAATTGGAAGATTAGACCAAAAGGAATTGCATGAGTTTCAACAAGGACAAATGGAAAGTCTTGCACTTACAATGGGACAATCCCATGCACCAGTGCAGGCTGGGAGCTGACTGGCTGAGCAGCAGGTCTGCAGAAAAGGTCCTGGGGGTTACAATGGATAATAAGCTGAATATAAGCCAGCAGTGTGTCCTTGCCCAGAAGGCTAATGGCATACTGGGCTGCATTGTTAAGTATGTTGCTAGTAGGTCCAGGGAAATAATTATTTCCCTCTGTTCAGCACTGGTGAGGCCACAGTTTGGGAGACCCAAGTACTGTGTACAGTTTTGGGTCCCCTGCTACAGAAAGGATGTGGACAAATTTGAGAGAGTCCAGCAGAGGGTAGCAAACATGGTTTGGGGGCTGGTGGACATGACTTATGAGGAAAGACTGAGGGAACTGGGCTCATTTAGTTTAGAGATGAGAATACTGAGAAGGGACTTAATAGCAGCCTTCAACTACCTGAAGAGGGGTTTGAAAGAGGATGGAGCTAGACTGTTCAGATGACAGAATAAGGAGCAACAGTCTCAAGTTGCAGCTAGGGAAGTGTAGGTTAGATATTAGGAAAATGTTGCTCACTAGGAGGGTAGTAAAACACTGGAACAGGTTACCCAGAGAGACCACGTAAGAAACATCCAGTATGTCAAACCTGGTGGAAGCAGGTGATGTTAGTATTACAACTTGTTCTGCATATGGCAGACATTTATGTTCCTAGGGAACTTTACCAGTGAATACAGGAGCATAGGGAATTGCGGTGCCTCAGGTATGAGATAGATTTTAAGGGATTTTGAAGACCAACATTTTGAACTTCCATGCTCGACCTGTTAGTTAGGTACCTATGTCTCTTTGTAGGCTATACCCCTGGAGAGGATGCTTTTACAGCCTCATGCCTTCTCATGCAAAGCTCTATGGGGGGATTCTTTATGATAAATGTAATATTTACTTTAAATGGCAAAAATATAGTTTCATTTATGCCACCTCTCTCCACCGCTCAGCGTGAATGTTTCTTTCTGTCGTAACAAACTAACGTAATTACAGCTTAAGTAAAGCTGATGAAAGAATATGACCCTCATGCAAATGACTCAGAATAATTACTATAACCGTGACTTGTGCAAACTGACTTGTTTCCATTGGAGAGATGCCTGCATTGCAAATAAACAAATAAATATCCATCACGGTTGGCATCTACTGCCAATTTTGAAGGACTCAGTGGACATAGAATCTGTCTGACATATGTCTGCAAGAGATCGCTACAGAGTGTGGCTGGAAGATTTTGACAGGGTGACACAAGGAGCTTTGCAATTAGTTGTGTAGGAAACAAATTTACAGTCCTACAAAAATTTAGATTTTTAGACACCCTGCTTCCTCATCGATGTGAAAGCATTTTTTTTTTTTTTTGTGGCTGGGTCAGGCATGGGGTGGAGAATAAAAGCAGTGAGAGAAAGGGAAAAAGAGACTCTCATCCACACCAGAAAACCTAATGGCTCTGTTGTTAAAGCACTCATCTAGGAGACCTGACTTTAATTTTCTACCATAACTAATTTAGATAAGAGAGATGAACCTCAGTTTCCTGCATCAAAGATGCCCCAAACCCCAAAGGCTTTCTGGGTCGCATCTCCTTCAAGTAAGTAATCATTCTACTTTGTAGAAATAATTAAACATTCTTTGGGTCAGGAGACAGACAGTGTATTCACTGATAAAATAGGCTGTTGCCCAAGAAATTCATGCATATCTGAAACACTTAGTCTCTAAGAGTGCCTGTACATGTGTGAGATCACTGCTCTGATGCACTCGAGCAGCCTCCGTGTCTTGTGCACTCAGCATCCCCCTACTTCAAATGGCAGTGGGGGTGCTTGAACTGAAGCTCATTGAATGAGCTTTAGTTAAAGTGCCGCTGCTGCCATTTAGAAGCACTGGATGCTGAATACACAAGATGCTGTGGGCACTTTAATTAAAGTGGCTCTCAGAGCTGCTCTGATTAAAGTGCCCTATCCCCCACCCCCAGAGCACAAGTAAAGATGCCCTAAGGTGCTACCTGGCCCTACCGTCTGCCATTAGTAAAGTAGGAATTCTTTATATCACAAGGTATTGTGGGACTAGATGTACTCTTTGGGTATGTCAAAATAGCAGATACAGCTGTGATGCAGTATAAGTAGGAATACCTGCACTAGTTTTAATGTAGCTAGAAAAAATAATAATCTTAGTGAAGATTAACTCCTTGGGCCTTTAACCCAAGGAGTCTTGTACAGCCAGTGCTGCCATATATTCTAATTCTTGTTACTTGTGCCTAAACTAAAGGTAGCATGGTAGGCCACTTTAATTACACCTTCATTTGTTACGTAGCCTTGCTACCATGTTTATCAGCCACTACGCAAACCCACAGCTTGTAGAGGTAATAAACATACTAAACACCTAATAGTAGGTCACTGCAAGTTCATATCAATGAATGCAAAGGTCTTTTGGGGTCAACATTAGCCCCAGTCCATTTTTTGCAGCATCTCAGAACTGCTTACCTCTTGGCATTGCTGCTTCACCCCTTGAAGATTGAGACTGTTTTGTTTCCAGGGCTATGCTCTCCCTCTGACATCCTCTCCCACTGTCTATGTCTGGCGTGGGCAATTATTTTGGGTGGAGGGCCACTTACTGAGTTTTGGCAAGCCACTGAGGGCCGCATGACAGGCAGCCCAGGGCAGGTTAATATTAATTTTCTAAAATTTTTAGGGGCCTCGGGGGCCAGATAGAATGGCTTGGCAGGCCACATCCAGCCCATGGGCTGCATTTTGCCCACCCGTGGTCTATGTGCTAGTGCTACCAGGCAGACAAGCAGGGTTTGCCATGGTAATGATGACAATGGAGCAGGAATAACAAAACTCATTCAAGGAATGGAGAGGACTTTGCTTTTCATGCTTGCTCCCCGCATAGAAAGGACAAACTCTTACCAGTCTAGGGGTTCTAGGCATGCTATGCCTATGTCCTACCATGGGTATTTCCCATGCTTCGGGTCTTTGCTGGTTGCTTCCCCCCCAATTTTCTGCTACGTGTGTTTTTAAGCCCTGATCACCATATTTGGGGTCAGGAAAGAATTTACCCCATAGTTAGACTGGTACGGACTATGGGGGGGTTTGCCTTCCTGTATAGCAGGGGCCTGGCCTTCTACCCAGGGCCTGTTGTGGACACGTCTACATGTGCACTTTAATGACATTATCCTATCTTAATATGCATTGAAGTGTCACAAAGAAGCCTAATAAAAGGTATCAGATTTACCCAAAGAATCTTGTCTGCCTATGTCTTTAGACCAACACTGCTGCAACCTATACCCCCCTAACAAAAAAGCCATGCTCTTTACCTAATGCACATTAAAATAGGCTAATGTGCCTTCTTCTAGTACCTCACAATGGAGCTACTCTATTTAATGCTCATTACCTAAAGTGCATTAGTGAATATATAGGTGCACCCCTTGCGCCTATTATTGACATGTCAGAGAAGCAGGGCCTTGGCTGCCCTGGCTCCCCTGCTTTACCTGTGGCAGCTAGGGTGTGAGCTCTGTGTTGTGCCAGGGCTGAGGGGAGAGTTTCGATCATGGTTTGTATGGGGTGGTTTGCCCAGGGCTGGTCCTGCCTCAGGCAGGGGGGCTGCACGAGATGACCTCCGGAGGTCCCCTCCAGCCCTGCTCCTGCCTCCGATTCCGTGAGGGGGAGGGAGGAAGAGCGGGAGGAAATGGACCGAGTTCAGGTAGAGGGAGCCCGCAAACAGCCCAGCCTCCCGCCGAGAGCGCTGCCGCTTGCTGGCAGCCTCTGGGGTTACAAATCCGAGGCCAGAGGCCGCGCGGGCCAGTGTTTCGCCCCGCAGTTCCCAGGCAGCTCTAGGGCGGGAGCTGGCGCGGCAGGGCCAGGTGCTGGGGCGCTGCTATAAGAGGCGCCGCCCGCAGGCGGCAGGTGCTGCCCGAGGAGGCGGGGGGCGGCATGGCCGCGGCCGGGAGCCTGCTGCAAAGGGTCTTGGAGCTGAAAGAGCGTCTCGGCCAGGCCCAGGATCCCAAGAAGGTAGCCGGCTGCCGGGCCCGGCCGGGGGGTGTCCCGGGGCGGCAGCAGCAGCAGCGAGGCTGACGAGGCGTGTCCGCGCCCCAGACGGCTCCGCTCCGCAAAGGGCGCGGGCGGGCCAAGCCTCCCCGCACGTGGCTCCCGCACCTCGCGTCTCCGCGGGGTTTGCTCGGGGGCCGCTGCCTGGGCATTGAACCAGCTTTTTATGCAAGGGAGATCTTCACTTCTGTGCAAGTGAAGCCCCTCTGCCCTCTCCTGCTGCAGGCCCATCACAGGGGCTGGGCCCTTTGAAACCCCTCGCCCGGGAGCTGGGGCTGCACTTGGGGCTTGCAAAGCTGTCCTGGCCGGGAGCTGAGGGGCAGCCTCGGAGTCGGAGCTTAATGCTGGAGGGCAAATGGGAGAGCAGGTGGGGAAGAAACCCGTCTGGGCCTCTCTGCCCTGTGAGACCAGGAGACTGGGCAAGATGCATCTGCGGTCGCAAGTCTGATGCTCTAAGCTTAAAAAAACAAGTCTTCCAGCATTTCTAACATGCGTTTGCCACCTACCAGCTGGCTTTTGCTCACCTACACTTTATTTAACTGATCTAAGGAAAGGTAGGAGTTGCAGGATGATGCTGATGGCAAATGTGGCCTATCTCCTTTATTTGCTGAGCTCAATGCCTCCCTGGGAGAATGACCCTGATGGTTAATAGCTAGCA